ATAAATATGTAATTTACAACAGCTGTAAGATGCTTGAAAAGCTGGAAAATGCACCTTGAAAATGCTTGAAAAGTGCTTGAATTTGACTTTGGAAAAGGTGTAAGAACCCTGCCAGTAGCTCTGGAGAGAGCTTTGCACCTGTGGCCACTAACGGTAATAATTTCTCTGCTTTGTTTCAAGACATCAGAAAGCTTTTGAATGGTGCTACTTTTCCAGTTGGTCTACCAACCCAGTCTCATGGCATTTCGTGTTCACAACACGATTTTTAATCTATTGATTCGTGTTCACCAACACGATTTGCCCCTTTTTTTCGTGTTGCACAGCACGATTTTAAAAGCAATGTATTTCTACTGCTTGCAGCACGTCTTTTTCTCCGGTCGGGTCGAGGAAGACCGGAAGCTGTGTGGTTCATAAAAACATGTTCTTACTCAATATCAAGCCACAGTTATTGCTTTTATTTTAAATCGTATAATTTCGGACTTTTGTTGCCGTCTGTGAGGAAAATAAATGGGGCTCAGAGTGAGGCTCTGAGCCCCATTTATTTTGGGGATACAGAAATCTGTGGATACGGAAATCTGTATTTTAAAATATTTTTTTCCTTCTAATTCGTTATTCTTTTCAAAATAACACACTGTTATTTACTCACCAATAACACACAATTATCCTTGCTTTTATTTATTGGTTTAATTCCATAATCTCGGGCTTTTTTGGCGTCCGTCAGGAACTGAATTTCAAAATAAAAATAACCGGAAACAGACGTAGACCTATAAGGGACATTTCGAGCATCATTGCGATTGTCAACAGGCTTGTTTGAGACGCGTTGCGGCTCGCCTCGAAAGTAGACGAGAATAGCCGATCGCAGCCGGGGGAGGTCTCAAAAAGCTGGCCTGAAGTCGGACAGCTCGGAGTCCATGCTCGGAGTCGGCTTCGTCTTCTTCTTCTTCTCTCGATTTTTTTTGGCGGATTGCAAACAACTTTAAGGTGCATACCGCCACCTCCGGAGTCGGCTTGACTCGGTTTGCATTTATAAAGAATGCACACATGTGTTTAATCGTTAATGTCAGATATGTACTAAGTAAATACATTTGTTCCTGCTCAAGATTAGATTCAACTTTATCGTTATTGCACATATTACAGGTACTGAGACAACGAATGCACTTTAGCTTCTAACCAGGAGTGCGACAAGCAGTAAAGTGAAAAGTAATGTACAAAATCTACAGAATAAAATATAGAATGAATTGAATGATGAATAAACAGTGAGGGCTATGAATACACTAGATATCAGCCTGTGAGCAGTATGAACAGTGTGTATGAATATGCTAAGATATATAAAGTATGAAAACGGTAAGCAGTGCAAGTATAGTATAAAATATATGGATATTAATTTAATGATGATAAATATTGTGGAACAATGGTGAAAAATGGGAATGGATGTGGCGACGTAAAACTGACACAAAACAACAACAAACTTTTGCCGAGCCAATTGGAGAGTTTCATCACCAGCACGTGGTAAAAACCACCAATGAGCGCTCAGCTCGAGATACCAGCGAGTCGTTTCCCATCAAGCATTTCGCTTCCGCAGCCCGTGGAGAGGAACTGCGCCGACTCGCCGCGCCTCGCTCTCAAGGCTGCGGGCGTCTTTGTCCCGCGAGATTTCAACGTCTCATGTAGGCGAGCCTCCAGAGCAAGTTGGACAAAATGACTAACCATCATGCAACGCACGAGCAAGACGTTGATCGCAATTGCGCAGGTCTGCGCAGGTCTCGCTTGTCTCAAACAAGCCTAACGTTTCTGAATTTAGGATGTCCGAAGACACTACACTACCCATAATCCCCAGCTATCGTTTAGGACTACAGTCCCCGTAAGGTTACGCAGAGCGTCAAACAGCTGTGTGAAATGGAACGAAACCACGCCAGACTATCCAAAACTGGAATCGAACGCTGGCTATTGTGTTTCTCAAAATGTTCTATGGGACGTCTCTACTAAACGTTTCCGTTTTTCCCACAATTAGAAGTTGCCAGTATTAAACACATTGGTGTTATCAAATGTAAAACATATAATTAATAAATGGGTGAAAATCGCTTGTGTCCATAATGCGCAGCATTAATACCCACATGACAGCTCATTGTTACTTTGTAATTCTACTCCACTACAATTCAGAGGTTAACCTGGTATTTTTACTCCACTGCATTTATTTGAGTTACTTTGCAGATTCTGATTAATGATGTGAAATATAAACAACCCTTAAATCAGACTTTAGTTACACCTGAGTAAAATTCAGGTAAGGTGATTGTCAAGTGCCAACAATCAGGAGAGATATTTGATAGTTGGTGCTTGAGAAGACTAAACATGTATCTGCAATTGACATGAATGGAAACGAGTAATAAAGTATATTCATTACTCGTTATTCTCTACTAATAGTTAATTAAAGACTGTATATTATGGCTATTTTGCACATCCCTTTCAAGATTTTCAAAGGTTTATTGACATATCATATACACAACTACGGTGTAGTTATGCAATGAATGAAACACTTGGGTCACAGGTTCCTCAACAGTGCATTACAAGACATCTGTCAATATGTGTGTACCTCCACCATTAAACTGTCGTATTCTGCACATTTCTTATTCTATCTACATAAGAGTATAATTCATATGTATAATATCAGTTAAAATAAGTGCTTCAACATAGTTAACATTGCAGGAAAGCAATATATTAGACGTTAAGTACTTTGTCAGGCTTAATATTTATCTGTAGATAGATACCCCCAAAGTTTTTTTCTTATTTAAAAGAAGACCTTAATCTGTTATTTAATGTTTAAATAAAGGTTAATTCGTTTTTCTGTTTTGCACCTCCTCATATTAATATCTTTGTACATTCTGCACTAAACTGTTTTATTGTAGAGATCACTTATAGTATCTTCTTGATTTTTTATATTCTATATTTATACTTTCCTCCTATGAAAGTATGTACTCTTAATATTTTTTTAATCAAATAAAACACAATAATTCAATAACGTGCTTTAACCACTAGGAGGTGCACACAAGGTACACACAGCCATAATAACTTTGTATTATTAGTGTAGGACACTTGTGTTTTCGTACAACATCTGTAGATGTGTAGTTTTATGCATGCTTTCACATAATTTTACAGCATATTGCTATACTATTTCAGACTCAGTATTTACATTCTTACATTCAAAGAAAATCAGTAATATCTTACAGTCCTTTTATATCAGCTGTGCACCGTTATGGTGTAAATATAACCTATCTGTGAATTAGATCAAATGTAAAAGTCAGCCGAATTAGTGTTGATACTGCAAGGAGACGTATTGTGTGAAGAGAAATTGAAGATGTTGTTTAATTGTTGAATATATTTATGATCCACGTCAAGTATTCAGTTTCGGCGGCATTTTCTCAGTTTTTCCAAAGGTCTTCTCATCAGGGCTCTATAAATAAATAACTACGGCAGATCTGTAATATACAATGCAGCCGAACCGTGTATTACAATGCCGTTATGTGATGACTTTCAAAGAGAAAAGCAAGAGCGCTCGGAATTAAGTATTATTTTATTCTTTTAAAATGTTTTCCGGATTTCATATCATATAAACACCAAATCCCAGCATGCATTGCGGCTAAAACATCCAATAAACGAGCTTAAAACCATAGCTGAGGATCTTGGGTAATCGCTCGAAATGCCTACGTCTGTTTCCGGTTAGTTTTATTTTGAAATTCAGTTCCTGACGGACGCCAAAAAAGCCAGAGATTATGGAATTAAACCAATAAATAAAAGCAAGGATAATTTTGTGTTATTGGTGAGTAAATAACAGTGTGTTATTTTGAAAAGAATAACAAATTAGAAGGAAAAAAAGATTTAAAAAATACAGATTTCAGTATCCTGAGGCTCTGAGCCCCATTTATTTTCCTCACAGACGGCAACAAAAGTCCGAAATTATACGATTTCAAATAAAAGCAATAACTGTGGCTTGATATTGAGTAAGAACATGTTTTTATGAACCACACAGCTTCCGGTCTTCCTCGACCCGACCGGAGAAAAAGACGTGCTGCAGGCAGTAGAAATACATTGCTTTTAAAATCGTGCTGTGCAACACGAAAAAAAGGGGCAAATCGTGTTGGTGAACACCAATCAATAGATTAAAAATCGTGTTGGTGAACACGAAATGCCATGAGACTGGGTTGGGTCTACCTGCTCTTCACGTAGCTCTGCATGTCGTCGTTTCGGTGCTTTTTTTTCTTCTGGAGATAGGCACTGCTCAATCCACTCCTAAGGCCACCCCCCAAGGTCCAAGTTAACCTTACATGTTTCCATGACCCTGACTGTTCAGTGTTTGTCACTTAGGGACTTCATGAGATAAAATAAAGGCTAAAGCTCTAAGGGACTTTCCAGAACATTTACATGTCATGTAACATATGTTTCATCGTGGGTACAAACATCTGGGTTAATATCTCTATAACAATTACACAATTTACAAGATGGACATCCAGTAGCAGTTTAGCGATATAGCAGCCAGGTGAAGGTATAATAAAAGGTGATATGGTTACCCACTTTAGTTCCACACTGACGATCCTGAGGAAGTCCAACCCCTTCCCCCTGGATGGACATGTCATTTATGACATGGTTGTCCAAGCCCCCACTTGGAAGTTGGCCTCCTGCCTTTCCAGTGACTCTGACCAATAGATAGATAGATATGTTGTTATAGGAGCAGTGTGTTCAACATTAAACTACATACTACAATATAAAAAATTCAGGATAATTAAAAATGTTCTTAAAAAAGGTAAAGAATACTGCAGTAGCAGGAATATAGGCTTAAACTATACTGTATATACATATGATAGTATACATGTATACACATATATACTATCAGCTAGAACTGGAACTGGTTTGGTGGAAAAGGGGCCGTTCAGAGAGAACCCATGCGCTGGAACTTTTTGGAGTCGTGATAAACACACAGCAATTTGAATAATGAAAAGTCTGCACAATGTTTGGTATCAAGTAAGTTTATTAATTTAGTGCACAAAAAGGCAATACTAATAACACTACCATAATCACAGAGGTAAACACAAGAGGTGCCCATTTTGGAAGAAACAAAAGCCCACAAGGTTCAATGGGTCGACACAAGAGGGGCACACTGGAGAACACATTCAAATCAATACAAATACATTCAGCGAGATCACTTTAAAACGGGAGTGGCAGTACATCAGCACAAAGAGTTCACAAACTACTGTGTGCTGTGTTTTCAAGCTGATGGCTATCAGGAGAACATATTTTCATTTGTAAGCATACTGAATGATTAAGTGCTCCACTTGTTGCTACATTTAAAAATCACAAAGCTCAAGCTTGTTGTACCCTCCCTGTTAAAAGAGTCTTTAGGCTAACTTTAAACAAATCATATGGATGACTGGTTTAAAAACCTTCACCGAAACACACCTCTCAGACTTTGAGATGGAAGAAAAACGGCACAAAACAAGTGAAATCACAGCCACATAAAACATGAAATGTTGCTTTACTATATACATACAGAAGAACACATGAATGTAGCTACAGAATCCAGCCTAATACACAAAGTGAACTCATCGGGGAACATTTTTACAGTTATACGGAAGACTGAATATGGCAAAACTGTTAAGAGTTCCATTTTAGATTTTCAAATGATGGTAAGTAAATATTGCTCGTAAAACCGCTTTGTGGTGACGTTTTGCCAAACTTTATCATGGATGACCGGTGTCAGTGTTCAGATATTGTGCTGTTGCCGTAATAGAGTCTACAAATGTAGCTCTTTGTGCCAGTGTAACAAAAGGGCACATATTAAAGTGTAGTGTGCTTTATTGGAATCAAAACTAAAGCTGACAGATGAGAATGGCAGACTTCTTTTTTAAAGTAAAATCCTTCTTTATACAAATTGGTTGTTAGTAGGTTACACGTCAAAGTTGTGTTGTTAGAATTGTCCTTTTAACAAAGCGTGTAGTTTTAATGTTGAACCGTTATTCACTGTACAAAATATTATTTCAAAAAATCCTTTAAAAAAACGTTTTCTTTCTACGGTCATACCCAAAGAAAACCCCATGGTCAGGATGTATATATATTTAGGACAAAGTATTAAGAGGTTTGGGAATACATGCTGGAAACTCCAAGGCACCAAATGAATTGAGTAAAGTGTAGAGTTGTTGTTTTCAAAGTGTCTGAATCTGCTGGGCTTCTGGTGTGATTCATAAATTGTGATAATCGTAGTCCTGGGGTATTTTTGTTTTATAATCCCTTACAGTTGGCAGCACAACACTGAGTCTCTTTCCAAAACAATGAACAGTATCATTCAGTCCCCAAGTAATCAAACAGCTGATGAATAAAGCTGTAAGTTAGTTACAAAATATTTTCATACACGCGAGGAAACATTCATTTTCATGCATTCTAAAGTTATCGTGGCCTAAAACCTTAAATATCAGGTGTTAAAACTTCAAAGTGGCAGCTTCACAATGAATCCAGTGGAGTCAGTGAGAGGTGGAAAGTTGAAGATAGTTCTTAAGAAATCCAATATAATGAGGCCGAATGATGACAACATAATGTCAGTAAGCTAGTGTATCTTATTTATTAACAGCAGGCATTTATGGTGAGGATAAGTGCACTGTGTCCCTCCTGCAAACTCACCGGATTTGACTAAATCTAGACAAATACTGTGCCCTATGTGATCATATTTAATGATGACAGGCAGCAAGAAGGCACCCTCTTTAACGCTGGGACTGGAGACGGTGGGATGTGGTGTTCTCACGGACATTTAGCTGTGAAGAGTCTCGCTGGTGATGTTCAGATTCAGGAGAAAGGTGGTGCACACACTCCTAAAACAGCATTACGATTAAACATGATCCTGCTTGTTATCTTGAGCTATGCATTCTTTGGCAACAATGCCTGCGAGAGCTCATTTTAAAGACGCCATGTGATGAAAACAGCTCAATGTGACATTTAAAGGTCACCTATTATACTGTTTTTCATCAATATATCACAGGTCTCAGATCTATACAGAACCTGTCTCTGATTGGCTGAAACACCAAACAGATCATTGCAGCATTACCCATAATCCCCTCTGTTTCAGCCCTGTTTCCAAAGTGCTGATTCTCTGTCTGTTACTTTAGATGAAAATAAGGAGCCCCTCCCCACGCCCCTCTGAGAGACATTTGGTTACAAAGAACTCAATGGTGCTCTAGGAGGAGATTCAGGACAAAAAGTGAGCAAATCTTTTTTCCTGAACCGTTCAGAATCTCTTTACACAGAGGGGACACATGTTTATGTATAAAATACATGAAAAAGTGGATTTTGAATAATAGGTGACCTTTAAATTAAGCATTGATGACATTTTTTTTTAATGTTTGTCATGCTCTAACTTCTCTTGGTCAGGGGTCTCCCCTCGCGGACGTGCTTTGCGCTCCTCTTTTCCGTCTTCCCCTTCTCTCTCACCTTCCTCAGGCGGCGTGGGGGGGGCGTCCCTCTGGACTCGCTGTCCTCCTGAGCGCTGGACGTATCCATCCCGTCTCGCTCCTCGGGGATATTCGGAATGGCCCCGCTGCTCCCGTCTAAAATGTTCCTGAGGTAGGGGTCCTCGGGGGTGCAGGTGGCGGTGGTCCCGCTCTCGCTGCTGCTCAGGTCCTGCTCTTCGCTGTAACGCCCCCCCCGGCTGCGGTAGGGCAGGGAGGAGGCCCGGATGGATCTCCTGTCGCGCTCCATCTCGCGGACATTGTGCTCGTTCATGTCCACCCCCGAGTCCAGGCTGGTGTCGTTGCTGCTGTGGGGGCGGAGGCGGCCCTGTAGCTCGATGATGGAGTGGCGCACCGTGGCGGCCGGTTTCCCCTCCAAGGAGACAAACCAGGCGCGGGATTGAGACTTCCCCCGGGTCAGCTCCAGCAAAGTGCGCTCGGAAATCCCCTGCAGCTCGCTGGGACCCCCGTGCCCCCCCATACCCGCCGCCTCGTTCAGAGTCCCAGGCACGGAGACGGAGGACTCCAGCGGGTTATTGTAGCGGCCCCACATAGCGCCTGGAGGAGGGGTCTCAAGAGGCTGGGGGTCATCTTGGCTGCTCTGCTGGGGGCTGCTTCCACCTTTGGGGAGTGTCTGGGTGTAGTTGTCTTTATCAGGATCTGAGTGAGCGTCGTTGCGGGGGAAAGTGGCCGACTTGCAGTTTTCCGGAGCCTGGATGATAGCCATGTGGAGCAGCTTATCTTGAAAGAAGTTTGTAGAGTTCATGTTGGAACGGTTCTGCTCCGACTTCTCCCGAATCCGTGCCACCTCGTCACTGTTGATGTAGTGAGAGGGCTGCTGGGAGCCTTTGATCCGATCCAGAGCGATGTTCTCGTACAGGGCGGCCCCCGGGCGGCCCCCTGGATCCTCCACATAGATGTTGTAGTTGGCTTTATGCCTCGGTGTGAGGGAGGGGTCGCACTGGACACTGCAGGAAGCCAGGCTGTTGTCGCCAGAACGGAACAGCAAACCCTCCTCCATGTGGGTGGAGGTGGTTTGGTCTTTCTTCACCACTGTGAGTTTGGAAAAGCGTGCTCTCCTCCTAGGCTCTCGATAAGCACCTCGCCTATCGGAGGAAACAGAGATGAATCAGGATGGAATACAGGATCTTTCCACTTGTTAGGACAAACTAATGGCAAGTTAAAGTGTTAAGATTTCCCCAAATACATTTTCTAGTTATGTCTCAATAATAATAAGACAACTGTAAATAAGAGTTTTTATATATAGTGCATAAAATGTACTTCTGTTCATAAAATAATGAAGTCTTACTAAACAAGTAATGTAACATTTGTTTTTTTAAACTGCATATTGAAGGAAGCCCTTCTGAGCAGATCTCTTACCCGCAGTGACATAGCAACAAGGAGAGACATCCGATGACAAGAGCCAGCGACGCTCCCATAATTCCCATCATCAGGTAGGCGTGGTACGATGTGAAATCAAAGGAGCTTCCATGCCACAGGTAACCTAAACGCAGATAAAAACATAGACATGAGAGATCTACTAATACAAACGTCTCAATCTGCATTTGCAGGAGTTTGTGAAGGAAAAGGTACCGTGTGACGAGGGAATCGGGGCGGCGATCCAGTATCCCAGATGGGAAGCAGTGTAGGTCCAAACCAGCTCGTTACCTTCTGCTTTCACTATTCCCAGACCCTGATTCTCCCAGGCACCTGTTGGAATGGAACAGATCATTAAAGGTCTCCTATTATAATATTTGTATATATTATACGTCTCAGATATATAGAAAACATGTCTCTGAAGTGTTTTGCTCAAAACACCAAACAGATTGTAGCCATGCCTCATACACAGGGGTGCACATCACTTTTTTGCCCTGGTTCTCAAAGGAGCACCTGGAGATGTTGCTTTGTGCGCATCCTTAAAATGAAAAAAAAACGGACCTTTTGAGGGGTAGGCTACTTGACTTTATGAACGGGGGGGGGAGGTGTGCTAGTGAGCACGCAGCAGGGTTTCTGTGCGGAGCGCATAAAGCAGACCCTTAACGCGATAGCGAGGGGTAGAGCGAGGGATCGCAGATGCCGTCGTGCTCGTGGACGGATTAAAACAATTAAACCTAAGTAGCTCGCTAATTATATACTCTGCTATCTTACCAGTTCTTATGCAACTCGCATCTCTCTCTCTCTCTCTCTCTCTCTCTCTCTCTCTCTCTCTCTCTCTCTCTCTCTCTCTGATCCGGTGATCTTTTTTAGCGGAGGGTGCGCACCAGTTATGTGCAGCACTGCTCATACACCTCTGTTTCAGCCCTGTTACAAAAGTGCTGATTCTGCTGCTGGCCACGCCCCTTTGGAGCTGCTTCTGTGAAGAGAAGGTTGTCTACCAGCAGAAACTCAGCTAAATGCTGCCCTGGTTAAACGCCATATTATGTTCCAAACCACATCAAGGATTATTTCTGAAACAGTATGGAGCTCAAATGCTTTCTCTCTCTCGCGGGTTTACCACAAGGTGAGTTCCTTTTATATCCTGCTTCTTTACACATATTCTCTCCAGCACAGCATTAGCTCTGAGTGTTAGCGATGCTTGCTAATGTAAACACAGACCATATTACTTCCAAAATATTCTAAATATAGCGTGCATTCAAGCGGATATTGATTTTGAACTTCTTTCTGTTTCTCCAAACTGAGGACGTGCCACCTGCCACAAACTAGTACCCCATATAATCCCCCTTAAGCAATCTGAATCATCCCTTCTAAGTGTACAATATTGACAGATGCTATGTTGTTTTATGTCATCATATATGATCCTTTTTGAGGTTATTTTTCTTGTGATTAGAATTTTTTTTACATCATTTTGTGTCTTTTCTGTTCTCTTTTATCCTCACCTGTCTTTACATTGAAGGCCCAGGCTGGCACGGTGTCAGAGGCCCTCAGGCGGGTGCTGTGTCCCAGGGGGAGGCTGATGTGAATGGGCCCTCGAACCTGGAGCTCCTCACCTTCAGAGTACAGCAGGATATCCACCGCTGCCACCGCCTTCAGCTCGATGCCTCTCAACACTTCACACACAGGAAGCAGTGATCCAGTCAGAGGACGTTCACATGGTTACATTCTGATCTGAATTGTTTTACATTATAGTTTGAAAGAATCTGCTTCATTTAAAGATGCTGGCCCTTTGTGCCCAACCAAGTCTTTAACCAATAAGAACCCACGGTGACACAGACGTTACATGACATTTAAATGTTCTGGAAAGTTCCTTATACAGTTGTAGCCTTTATTTTATCTCATGAAGTCCTTAAGTGACACACTGAACAGTCTGGTGGGTCATGTGATTTTGTGTTCCCATAACAACAAGTCCAAGATGTTGTGACTAATGTGACAGAAATAGCTACATTTCAAAAGCTTGTTTTTTGTTGCTTAAGGTAAGATTCAAGCAATTCAAGAATTATGATGCTTACATAACATGTCCTTTATTACATTTAACATTTCATGATCAAATTGATATGAAACAAATGAGATAAATATGATTAGTTAATTTAGCTGATTCAATTATATTTAGTTAAAATATTCTATATTCTTCAATTTAAACAAATGTAATCAAAAAAATCATCCTCATTAATTAAATTATAAATAAGAATTACTTTACCATTAACGCTCAAAGTGACATATCTCACTTTTCTGCCACTAGGGGGGGTTACTTGTCAGAAATGTGTTCTATGTGGTCTATTTAGTCTAAATGTTGTTCCCCATAATTCTCTCCGAAGTAGAAATGGGTCTGGATTCTTCAGGGACAATTGATTAGAAACCAGCTTTAAACAATAGTAAGGCTTTATTTAATGCTCACATGATTTTTGGCTGATGAGGCCGGGGGTGCAGTTGGCACAGTCTTTGGCTAGGTGGTGCTGTGGAACAGTGAGGTAAGCCGTCACCGAGGAGACGTTGCTGTTATCGGACTTGGTGAGGAGGCTCTTCGGGAACTGGACCTTGGGTTGGGATGAGCTGTCTGTAAAACATGAAGGCGTTTGATTACATCTGGACACAGTATGTTTCCAATGTGTAAAGTGCTTCTGATGTTGTTAGACCATATAGATGAAAGATAAGTGATAATATCTATTTAAAAAAAGAAAAAGACCAAAGGATGTTGGTGGCTGAGAAACAAAAACAGTATCATAGTTCACCTCTATAGTCATATTAGTGGCGACTGTGTCCTAGTCATATTTAAAATGTAGATATGTGTGCAGTTACTCTGCTATTTCTTTATTTAGACAATCAAACCCTTCAAAATGAAATTGTAAAAATCTAAATTTCAACCGGTTTTAGCTTCGTCAATTCACAACAAAATGTGAATCAATGTAAATATCTTTCCTCAAGGAAACCTAAAATGGAGCTGGTAGAGTGAAGGGGTTTCTGAAACTCACCAGGTAACTTCCCGGTGATGAGGACGGAGTCTTGGTACAGCCAGATGTTCCCCTGACTGTGAGGGAGCAGCAGCAACGTCACAGCAGAGAAGACTGCAAACAGAACACACACTCTTCATTATACAACCTTCCAAATGTCTTTCTAAGAGACACCATTAAGAAGAAGACAGGAATCAAACGTCATCTAGAAATAATCCTTTGACAACAAACATGGAAAGAACAGATGTTATGTGTATTTTAAAAGTGATTTAATGAGTAAGGAGAGAAGTATTTGTCATTCTCCAGTTTGTATTTCATAAGACGAGCTGTTTATGTAGATCTGTAACACCGCCAGCAGGTGGCGATGCTACCTCCTCTCCTGAGGGTTCGGCAGAGGGAGGCGCCTGTGATCATGCAGAGCAGCTCTCCAGATGACACTCTCTCATCATCCCCCCTCCTCCATCTTTGATGTAAACACCACCTCCTTTCTTTTTCTGTCCATTTCAGAGAGGAAGTGGACACGGACAATAGACCCGCGGCCCTTTTCTCTTCTACACCAACATGAGATCTGGAGCCCCCACCCCCCCCCCTCATGTGATTGGGCGCAGGACAAAAACAGTTTGCTAAGGCAGGAATATGTCCCTCCCCCCCCCCACACTGGAGTCAGACACATGTAAAGAAAGCCAATCCAATGACGGGGGTCCCGTTACACTTGAACATAAACCGCTCCGTCGTGAACAAACCTCTGTGACACGCTGTGTGTTGTCGCAGACACTTCATTCATCTGTAATGAACATAAATAATGCAGGTTGCTGGCATAAATCACAAATGGCTGCACAGCCTATTTTACAATCGGACAGTTATAGTGTTATGTAACCTTTAACGGACTCCTACAGTAATATAAAATAGTGTTTGTGGAAGAGAAATGCGTCCTTGAGCAAAACGTTTTCAATTGAGTCCTAGAAAGAGCTAAATGGCTTGATTAGGTTTTAGTTTGGTCCGATCGATCCTTGTTGGAAAATCCTCTTCACCAGCAAGGGGGGGTCAGGGTCAGCTGTGACCTTGGGGCTGGTCTGGATTCAGCGATTAGCATTTTAGCAGAGAAGCCAGATTCAAAGGTAGAATAATGACGACATTTGGGCAAATCTTTCCCTCAGAAATCTGACATATTCTTCAATAGCCAAAGGTTTTTATAAGTTGTTGTGGGGACACTCACTGGGTCTCTTGCTGGAGCTCCAGGGCAGGGGGCTGGGGACGTAGCCCTCCATGTTGCCCAGCAGAGTAAGGCTGAGGCCTGGGCTGTACGCCACCCACAGCAGAACCTCCCCCCTCTCCCCCGTTCGGACGGAGCTCCTCAGGGTGTGGTTTAGGTAAACGTCCACTGAAGCCCCCGGCAGCGCCTGGCGGGTCACCAGGTCCCTCACCAGGACCCTCAGGGCAAACTCGGGCTCTGGGGAGAAAATGCCAGGTTTTATTAAAGCAACCAAATGTACAAACTTTCTATTACACTGTCAAAATCCCACAAGGAAATCACTTGTATTAATCAGAGGTGGAAGAAGTACTCATCTTAAGTAAAAGTCCTGCAATCAAGATGTTACTTATGTACAAGGATAAGCATCTAAATATACTTAGAGTACCAAAAGTAGCCATTGTGCAGATTGGTCCATTTCAGAATAATATATATGATATGTTTTATAATGATTGATCATGAAAGTGTTCTCAAAGCTGGTAAAGGTGCAGCTAGTCTGAAGTACTTTGTATACTGCAGGGTAGCTGGTGGATTTACTCCAGGTGGAACTAAAGTCTGATTCAACACTTGATTAGATTTCACATCATTCATCCAGAGAAGTAACTAAAGGTATTAAATACATGTAGTGGAGGAAAAGCACCTAAGTACAAAGTAGCACATTAGCTACAGTGCAGATGTGGCAATGGAAATCACAGGCTCCTCTAACAGAGCAACATGAACATACATAGGACATAAAACAAATCAAACAGATAAAATAGTGCAAGAGAATTTTTGTTGACAGTACAGTGCTTGAGTAAATGTACTTAGTTACTTAATAGGTTGGTACGCTGCCTGGCTGCTAGAGTTAGAAGTACTTGGTGTGTCTTTGCATGTGTCCTATCTGTATGCAGAGCAGCCTCAGCCACTTCCTCTCAGCAGCAGCTAACCTTTCTCTCACCATGAAAAAGTGATGAGGCAGGATGCGTCTGGATGGAAATACACCACAAGCGCCATGTTAGACCTTTCCACTTTTTATTGAGTTTCAGTCTTTTTCTAATCAGAATGCACTTTACCGTCTTATTGAAGTAAATGACTCGGGGAAAGAAGCTTGATTCCAAAGGTTTATACATGAAATGTCCCTGCTGTTGTTGTTCTTGTAACGCACTGTAATCTTTATCAGTATGGTGATACTAAGCTTAATTATATCTCATGTTGGCTGTCACTATATTGTTGTATATTGTACACTGTTACATTCATACTTTTTATCTTGTTATTCCTATGCATATTTATATATTTATACATACACTTTTATTCTGAGATTTTCAAATGCAAGTCAGCTTGTATTTTTTTTACAGAATTTCTTATGCTAGTTTATATCTTTGTTTGTATGTATATTTTTTAATATTCAGGTGTGGAGAGCTGAGCGTGATCATTTGATTGTACAGTGCAAACTGCCTGTTTTGCTGTATATATGAATCTTGTCGTGATGTGTAAATCTGACACTAGTAACACCACAGCCGGGGTGACTAGACATGTCCTTTGTTGTTGTTGTTTAATATGTAAATCCACCATCCATGCTGAGTTGTAAACAACACCCATCAGTGAGCACAGGTAATACATCACCTGCTCGGACACAACGATCAAACCCTAATCCCCAAAACTCCACATTATGCACCCTAATCCTATTAGCCTGTTGGCCAGACTCATTTTCCATCCATACTATATCCATTATGTTGCCGCTGGAGAATTAAAAGTAATTAAATGGCATTTTGGCTGAATTTATAATGTATTTTATAGACACAATTACAGCATGTGCCTCAAAATCATCACATAAAGCTGCAGCACTTTGATGAAAAAAAAACCCCAAGGCAATGAAACAATATGTTTAAAACAAACATCATGCTCTCCTCCACGATCCAGTTATGAGTCACACTGTTTCCTGTGTTGTAGCTCATTTCCATTTCTCCCTAACAATGCCTGAGTGACGGGCAGCTCCTTTCTGTTTTTGTTTACCTTCTATCACCGCGGTGGTGCTGGGAAACCTCCCCGGGGCGGTGGGTTCGGTGGCGGACTGCTCTCCGACGACTGCGACGGTGAGGCCATTGTCCCCGGGTGAGGAGGAGGGCAGGCCGCCGCCCTCCTCCGCTGCTCCCACCGCCTCATCCAGGCAGGAAATCAGGAGCAGCGACGGCAGAAAGAGCAGCAGCGGCAGCGGCAGCACGGAGCGTTCAGCAGCGGGCATGGCGAGAGCAGGCTCACCGACATACCGGACCGAGAGACTCGAGCTCGGGGGGAGAAGAGGGTCCAGCAGTGTGTGCTTATCCTGTAGGCCTCACCCCTTTCATGGCTCCTCTTAATGTCGGTGCGCACTGAGGGGGGAAAGCCCCGTGGAGAAAGGATGCGCTGGTGCTGAGGCTGGGCGTGTGAACACAAAGATCGTTTATATTAGGAAGATGTGTCACGCGTTAAATAAATACAGTACATGCTCATGTTTTTTTTGCACAGAATGTACTCACACTTCCTCATTGCATTTAAATCTTTAGTTTTAAAAACTGCAGCTACTTTGCCCACTTTAAGAATTGAATAGAATATATCATTTTGTTGGTAGTACTCTGTCAAAATCAAAAGTCAAGACAAAGTCAACTTTATTGTCAATCTTTCAGTTTGTGTACAGACAGAGATCGAAATACCGTTTCCCACAATCCAGAGGAATACACAATACAAATATGTATACATATATACACACAATCAACATTTGTACCCTACATATGCTCACATATAAAGTGTTCTTACTTATTTAACTTTTTAGGCTACTGCATATATGTAGGCTATATATAGATATACCATTCATATTTGTTGTTGTTGTGTCATATTTTAACTATTGCTTTGCCTTGTTAACATGCTGCTGTGAAAGCAAAACAAAATAAAGTAATAAGACGAAATAAGAGCCGCTGAATTGTACTCCTTAATTATATAGCTCGTATGTATTTTATTCCAAAAATGCATACAAATACTTGCATATGTGTGGAAACAAACTGTAATATCATCTAAATTAAACAGCATGGGCAACAACAGACATTTTTCAGTCATATTGTTCAAATTCACTGCTTTTTCTCTCTTTTATAATCATTGTAATCCATCATTTGTTTATAGATGTTACATTTGATCAATTTGACGACCATTTCTGTACCAGGAAAGATTTACAGAGTGAGAGGTCCCTCAGTCTAGATAATCTTTGGTGAGAGGGGAGCTGCTGTTACCTCCTCGTGGTCTGTCTTTCGCCCTGTCAGTCGCGGAGATCCCTCCATCCTAGTTTTATCTCCTTGTTTGACAACATTGGAAAATCCTCCAATCAGGACACATAACAAGACTGATGGCCAGACCATTTTTACTTGTCAAGTCTACATTAAAACATTCAGTAAATAAGTCATAATCAGACCTCAAAGGTATTCAATCTGACTAAATGTAAACATATCTTTAAAGTAACAGCCCAGGCAAGTCGATACAGATTGATTGAAATGTGTGTAGGGTTCCTATTTCATGTTTGAAAGGTGTTCACCCCCTGTCTCATGTCTGCTTCCTGTCTCTGTGTTGTCCCTCCTGTCTGATTGATTTCCTGCCCCTGTGTCTCAGCTTGTCAGCAATGTGTATAGTTTGAAATGCTCAGTTCTTCACTTCTTTATACAGGTGGAAATGTGGAACTTGCTCTACAACGCCTGCTGAATCTGAGCATGTGCAGTTACATTTTAGAGAGCGTAACTAAGTTGTCTGTTTTAGAGAATATATATTTTCCACATGGCATGACATTCAATATTTGTTCATCACACGAGGTGTCAAGACAGATGCAGGGCTGAATATGAGCGACTATGAGGCACATACAGCAGTGAGTGTTTTTGTTGTTGTATGAATTCATTTGTAAAACTTATGGTAATATTGTTCATGAAAATAAATACTGGTGTATAATGTTTTATGCAATCTTTCTTTTCATTCTGTCATTGTACATGGCGTTACTATATTATATACTACACGGCAATGGCACCCCATAGTGTTGACTACAAATTATCCACACAACCTTCAGCATATCCACCAGACACGAATAATCATGACACATTTTATACAAACTTCCAAAACTTTATCGGAAAAACAAACGCTTCACTGAACCCATAACAAAGTAACTATACATACATTTCACACAAGTGACATAGGCTTTTGACTAAACATCCTTTGGAATTCTTCCAGGCGTCACAGGTTTCTAGCCTACAGAGGTTTAGTGAGCTGGCCCAGGATCAGAGTAGTCATGCATCTGCGTTGTTCTCAGGGAGTTTCTTGATCCCAAAACGTCCGGGTTCAGAATGCTGTCAAAATTGAGCCGCGTAGCATATTTTGTGCTGACCTCCTCCCTGTCAGGTCCTCTGGGACGGGGATCTTCAGAACCTCCTCTGTGAATGGGGCGGGGTCCACAAAGACTTGATCAAAGATGAGGTCCATTAAGTTGTCAACGTAACCTGTGCATTATTTCAAAAAAACAAATGTTTGGTTTAGATTGTTATATGCATGTGAAAAGACAGACTGAAAGTTATTTTTTTTGTGCTGTTTCTGCAATACATACTTTATTTGAAACTGTATGAATGTCAACATTACGGGCACCTTTAACAGTTGTATATGTTTACCTACTTTTTTTAAATACTGCAACCTATTTATTTACCATAGGTATTTACGTGTGCTTGTGCCCTATTTTCTATTAGGGCTGCACGATATATCGTGTCGTGACGAAAATCACGTTATGCGCATATTGACATCGCAGGACGTGCAATTTTTTTTATTGAATTTATTATTATTTTTTTAATATTAGGACGTGCGATATTAAGTAGGCAAATGAACTCAAACACGTCGTGTTACAATTATTGAGTGAGTAACATGCAGGCTCTGCATGCACAGCAAACCACCAATCACAACCATTCTTGATCAGATCACAGCAGGGTAACCGAGCTAGCTCAGCTTGTTGCTCTGATAACTTAAGATCCAGACGTCCGTGACTAAAATCCATCATCCGGTTAAATATTGTTAAAAAAATACCAATTGTAGAGCAGTTCAAGAAAGGATGGTTTGCGGACAAAATAAACGGTCTTTTCTTCAATTCCTGTATTTTTTCATATCGCAGGGGAAGAAAATATATCGTGATGTCCGTTTTTTCCAATATCGTGCAGCCCTATTTTCGATGCAAGTCTACTCATTTACTTCCGCATTTATCTACCATTGTTGTTGTAATGCTGTAGTTTGTTTTGAAATGTAAAATATCCAATCTTGTTGTGTAAATAGTTGTATAATAAATCATTTGAACACTTACGGAATGTGGGGTCAGTCTTTATAGCTTTTGCTCTGCACTCTCCCTCCCTGGCCTCTGGGGTCTGCAGTTCATACGGAGGGTCTCCAGTGGATGAAGTGGGGCGTTCAGCCCTTTCATTATAGTGTATGGCTGCCAAGTACAGTCTTTCATTTCCGTAATGAGAACAAAAAAATGTAAATAATAGCAAAGGATGTACAAATTGTCATTAATTCTAAGTAACTATGGTTTATTTTACCTGCACAACATTCCAAGAAATGGAAACACGACATTTTGTGGCGCAAAGCGTAGGATGGCGCTGTGGAAGGCCTTCAAAGGTGAAGTCTGGTGGTGGGGGCTGAGTTTCTCCACATCATTCAAAACCCTCTCGTTTGAGAGCACTTTCTCCAGCTTGTGAAAGGCCTGCGTTCCTAAGAATTAGAAAATCAAAGTTATATTTATTACTGTTATTATGTATATTTGAAATGTTCATGCTGTGTCTGACAACAACTCTCTATTGGTTGTCCCTAACAAATATTAAAAGAGGAACGTGAAGCACATACCTGCTGCCAGCCATTCTCCTTTATCCCTGGTTACGGGCAGTGGATGAAGGCATTTGGGGAACAGGGGGTCCTCATGACCCTGCACGTGGTTCAGGATGGACGTCCATTTGGCCACTCTCTCAGGCCCGCTGGTGGAAGTTGCTGCAGTCCAGTATATATGCTTTCTGATACTCTTCAACCACTCTCGAAGCTGCTCGCAGTCCCTCTTCTTTGCAGCCTTGAGCAGTTGTTTAGAAATCCCTAAAAATACAATGAACATGTCGTTAATACACATATACATTGACTCAAAATGTTATTTCATTTCTGTGATCGTAGGGTTTATGTCTAAATAAATGTGTTAATTAATTTAAATTGTGTCATTGCATTACAATAAATGTTAGAGATCAAATGATGATATCAGAATTTTCTTTGAGACAAAGCGTTTACCTTTCTCTATGTGCCCGACATCATAGAGCTGGGTGACGCTGCTTTCCCTGAGGAACTCCTGAATTTGTCGATGTCGGTCTGTGACAATACAGTCCGGAGTCACACCACGTTCCTTCAACCACTCCAGACTCCTTTTCAGGCCCTCTTTCTCCATGTGTTTGCTTCCGCCAACCTCATTGCTCTGTCAGGACACATACAAATAAACATTGATATGTGCATTTGAATGAATACATGCAAAACAGTGCAGAAAAAACACCTCACTCAAAATGTAATTTCATCCAACTTACCTGAACCAACTGCAGGTCAACGACTTTGTTGTTCTTGAGGTCCATCAAAGTGTAGCTGCCAAACTTTGTGCCTGTGAAAAGATGTTTTACAATCTTTACATAGGGTGCATTTGTATTATTGATTGAAGTGTTTTAGCATATGTTTTTCATGCACTGTCAATTTAACAATCCCACATAATCCAACCCCTTTCTGAAATGTAAATAATATATAAATATGACATACCTGGAGAGACAGCCTTCATATCTCCACCAACGACCACCTTCTCCTCTTCACGGAGCTTCCGCAGCATGTCTTCCTGAGAGGTTTTCCAGTAAGATACGACCGCTGGCTCGATGAACATCCTGGCATGCCTTCGAAAGGTGTTGTATTTGAAGAGCTGCATGTTCATTGCTTTGAAGACCTAATGGTGGTTTAAAAAAAGAAAACAAGAATACATTTTGATCTAAAATAGTAGATTCAACACAATTAATGCATATTCAACCAATAATAACACATATAGCTTATATATCACACAAAGCGTAATGGAAATAAAATGTTTGTTATGGGAACCGGGGGTCGCTGGGCAACGAAACTCACGCACTCTTAGCAATGGTGACAAAGCAACGAGAGGGGGACATGAAAAAGATTAGTGGCTACAAACAGTCATTGAGGGGACCCTGGAAAGTGCAAATGAGATGCCCTTTTTTAAAACATGTTAGCATGGGTGCTGCTTACTCTACAGTGACCCATTCACACCTCTTCTCTCTCTTCTTCTTATTCAACAACATTATTTGCATTTTCAACCATTAGCCAAACTGCCGTTCATGTACCTTTCCAAGTTTGTAGAAAGATAGCCCGTTGACGTACGTTGCAGCTGATAGCTGCAGGTTTCCAGCTGGAGTACTCCCCAGAATAGGCTGGCTATTCCAATGTCTCGCAAACTGACAATGGGGGCAGAGCTGCTGCACTGATATGAATGTACCCATCTTTGTGGTTTGTACGTCACACACACGCCTGCACACAGGACACACTTCAAAAAGCTCCATGAGGCAGGTCTCATACACGATGTATGTGTTGATCTTATGGGGGGGTTTTGGTGCTTGAACTCTGAAATAAAAAAAGAGATGTTATTAGCCATCACACAGAAATGTAAATTATATATGTCGTCTACAGAAATGTATACTTGACATTTTTTAAGGGTTAGACCGTTAAGTCTCAAAGTGTTTGGTGTTGTGGACTTGTATTGCTTTCGAGCTGTTTTGTGTTTCCCTAGCAATCTTGGAATGATGTACAACAAAAACACAATACATAGACTCATAGGGATATTTGAGTAACTCACAACATGTCTGTTGTTTCTGTGTCATCTGCTATTGACTCTGTTGGATCATAGGTAGGATCCTGCGAGTCATCAATGTCCATAGTAGGGATTCCCTCAAATGGATCCTCGTCTTCCTCCTCAGAGTCTACACTGGACCTTTCTGATGGTCTCTCTATGGGGTCGGGTGGTAAATCTGGCAGGGGTGCTTCCAACGGAACAGTTTTCGTGCCTACACCAACGTTTCTGTGGGAAGCTTGAGCCTGGACAGCTGTAACACAATGGTATTTCCCACAAAAAACAAGATAAAACTAATAAACAATATTTACAAGCACACAAAAAACATTTGTAAAACGGGCTTCTTACCTATACTTCGAGAGGGACGAAGAGTCCTCCAGGAAAGCTGTGTCCTAACAGAACGCTGCGGTGGGGGGTCAGTCTGACAGGCAGCATCCACCTTTATACGAGGTATATGGCTGATATCTTCTGATGTGCTGGCCTGTATAGAACAAACAGAGTTATATTCAGGATAAGAAAATTGTATTTGAATAATTAGATAGCGCTACAAAAACAGAGTTGAGCAATAGAGAGCTGGGTTACTCAGAACTCAAAGTAGAGTAAAGTTAGAACGATATTGGCAGATTCAGATTTCACGGATCAATAACTCATGAAAAAAACGTTATTCAGACACAAAGTACGTCTCCTATGTACCGTGGTAAGGTTGACAACGAACTACAATCACATTTTGATTTAAAAAAAGCCAATACGCGCCCTCCTCCGAGCTGGACACATTAAATTGGTCTCTATCTGCAGCCGGAGAAGAAACGAGTGGTCAGGGACCGTCTGCAAAGTGCAACTCCGAAAAAAGAGAATACAATAATATTCAATCACTATTATACAGTTTATTACTACCAAACTCACCACACACATCAATAGTCTCCTGGTGGTCATACTACAGCAGAGAGTTTGGAAGAATATGGTTTTGAATAATTTTGGTGAATATTTATAGTGTAAAATCTTCAATAAATATGGCATAATCTTCAATAACGTCACTATTATACAGTTTATTACTACCAAACTCACTACACACAATATTACATTACATTTAGCTGACGCTTTCATCCAAAGCGACTTACAATCGGTATAGTCTCCTGTTTGTTATACTCCACTGATACATTTGTATAAATATTTTTGTGAACAAAACTAAATGTTTATTACAGATTTAGCCAAAGTTGAAGTTAAAGTCAACTTTAGTGTCAAATGTTCCACATGTGTTATACATACAGAAACATTGAAATACCGTTTCTTACAGTCCCACAGCCTGAACAAAAACAATATATATATAAACAAATTAAGAAAGTTCTAGCTAAACAAGGGTATAAAAGTAAGTAATACATTTATATATAAAAAACACAATCAACAAGAAACATAAATTGGACATTAGTGCAAGAAATTAGGACTAGGATTTAGGACTAGAAATGAAGCGAAATCGTGAAAACATCTTCAGGTGGAGGTGATGTACACGATAATATACTTTACTTTTTATTTCCCCTCTAAAGATCAGCTGCCACACTTAAAAAGAAAAAAGATTGTTCCATGGCAAAAGGGTTAAGAGTTTAAACAAATCAAATGAAGGATGCAGAGCAATCAAGCCTCCAGTTACGTTTGAGCTCATCTTGTTAGTATTTGATCAACTGAAATGTTACTGAATTAAAACTACAAACAAATGTTATTTGTTCCTGTGATGGGCTGTCAGTCGATTAAAATATTTAATTGCGATTAATCGCATGATTGTCAATAGTTAATCGCGATTAATCGCAAATTAATCGCACATTTTTGATCTGTTCTAAATGTACCTTAGAGGAATATATTTCAAGTTTTTAATACTCTTATCAACATATGAGTGGACAAATATGCTTTATGCTAATGTTTATTATCATTTGAACAATGACAAATATTCTCATGAATATTAAACACAACAACCTGGAACCTCTCTCATACAATAATACAATACAAATGGTGTGGGTGGGTGTGGGTGTGTGTGTGTGTGTGTGTGTGTGTGTGTGTGTGTGTGTGTGTGTGATGGACATTGGAGTTATGTGCAACTCAAGGCATATGCTCGAACGGGAGCTGCCTGGACGCTGTGATCATGTTGCGCGCACTATCCGTGCTGAGTGTGCTGACTTCTCGTACAATGTCCCACTGTCTGGCTTCCTGCATAAAGTCAAGTGCTCGGCGCAGTTGTGGCGAAATGTCGCTCCTCTGTTTTCATTTAAACAGCTCCTTATATCCGTTAGCGCAGCTAGCTAGCACCAGATGCTAACAACAACAATGCACGTAAGGTCTCTCTCTCGCTCGCTCGTGCCACACATACACACACCCTCCCGGTCCTCCAGATGGCCAGTCGGTGCCTGCCGGTGAGCGTGGAAGTGTGGTCTGCCACAAGCGGGCGGCAGGAGCGGGGCTGTCAGCATCAGCTTGTAGATGGTATTTTAAACTCGATGCGCTCTGAAACTACGGGGCGGCCGAGGACAAAAAATACACATGCGTTAATCACGTTAAAATAATTAGTGGCGTTCATTATTTTTTTCGTTAACGCGTTATTAACGTGTTAACTTGACAGCCCTAATATATTACACATATTAAAATGACAAATGACTAGTTTTGCAAACCAAAACAAAAACCCAACTTAGTGTTACATATTTGGCCACAGTTTTTTCTTATATGTACTTCTAAAAAGTTTACTTCAAACTCTTTTTATATTGAGAAAAAGTATTTCGCTTTGCGGGTCCTCCTTTTCCTAGTTTAGAGGCCATTTGAAAATAATGGGAAGAGTTAAAAAAGGAAACAGGGCCCAGAGGAAGGGCTGGTGGAATGGAAGCATTAGTCCGAGGAATGAAGAGTGTTCACATTACCAAAAGAGATACAGGACATTCTTCATATATTTGGTCGGAACCCGCTATAATTCTTTTTGGTCATGATGATAAGAAAAACCGTCATTGGCTGTGGGTAGTATGGACCAACAATCGAAAAGGATTGAAGGATTTGATCTATAAACGCAAAAAATCATTAGAGCAGAAGGAAGTTCAGGTAATGGAGGAAAATCAAAACGAGAGAGATGTTGGAGGGGAATGTTCTGAAGACTGTCTTACAAAGGACTTGCTTCTGAGCATGATTCAGAATAAGGTATCAGATGAGGACACAGAAAATAAAGAAGGAGAAGACAAACAACAAAGGATGTCTTCTCAGAGTGGACTAGAATTAGATGACCAGTTATCAGATGAGGACACAGACAAGAATGAAGCAGAAGACAAACAACAAAGGATGTCTTCTCAGAGTGGACTAGAATTAGATGACCAGTTATCAGATGAGGACACAGACAAGAATGAAGCAGAAGACAAACAACAAAGGATGTCTTCTCAGAGTGGACTAGAAGTAGATGACCAGTTATCGGATGAGGACACAGACAAGAATGAAGCAGAAGACAAACAACAAAGGATGTCTTCTCAGAGTGGACTTGAAGTAGATGACCAGTTATCAGATGAGGACACAGACAAGAATGAAGCAGAAGACAAACAACAAAGGATGTCTTCTCAGAGTGGACTAGAATTAGATGACCAGTTATCAGATGAGGACACAGACAAGAATGAAGCAGAAGACAAACAACAAAGGATGTCTTCTCAGAGTGGACTAGAAGTAGATGACCAGTTATCAGATGAGGACACAGACAAGAATGAAGCAGAAGACAAACAACAAAGGATGTCTTCTCAGAGTGGACTAGAATTAGATGACCAGTTATCAGATGAGGACACAGACAAGAATGAAGCAGAAGACAAACAACAAAGGATGTCTTCTCAGAGTGGACTAGAAGTAGATGACCAGTTATCAGATGAGGACACAGACAACAATGAAGCAGAAGACAAACAACAAAGGATGTCTTCTCAGAGTGGACTAGAAGTAGATGACCAGTTATCAGATGAGGACACAGACAAGAATGAAGCAGAAGACAAACAACAAAGGATGTCTTCTCAGAGTGGACTAGAAGTAGATGACCAGTTATCAGATGAGGACACAGACAAGAATGAAGCAGAAGACAAACAACAAAGGATGTCTTCTCAGAGTGGACTTGAAGTAGATGACCAGTTATCAGATGAGGACACAGACAACAATGAAGCAGAAGACAAACAACAAAGGATGTCTTCTCAGAGTGGACTAGAAGTAGATGACCAGTTATCAGATGAGGACACAGACAAGAATGAAGCAGAAGACAAACAACAAAGGATGTCTTCTCAGAGTGGACTTGAAGTAGATGACCAGTTATCAGATGAGGACACAGACAAGAATGAAGCAGAAGACAAAGAACAAAGGATGTCTTCTCAGAGTGGACTAGAATTAGATGACCAGTTATCAGATGAGGACACAGACAAGAATGAAGCAGAAGACAAACAACAAAGGATGTCTTCTCAGAGTGGACTAGAATTAGATGACCAGTTATCAGATGAGGACACAGACAAGAATGAAGCAGAAGACAAACAACAAAGGATGTCTTCTCAGAGTGGACTAGAAGTAGATGACCAGTTATCAGATGAGGACACAGACAAGAATGAAGCAGAAGACAAACAACAAAGGATGTCTTCTCAGAGTGGACTAGAAGTAGATGACCAGTTATCAGATGAGGACACAGACAAGAATGAAGCAGAAGACAAACAACAAAGGATGTCTTCTCAGAGTGGACTAGAAGTAGATGACCAGTTATCAGATGAGGACACAGACAAGAATGAAGCAGAAGACAAACAACAAAGGATGTCTTCTCAGAGTGGACTGAAGTAGATGACCAGTTATCAGATGAGGACACAGACAAGAATGAAGCAGAAGACAAACAACAAAGGATTGTCTTCTCAGAGTGGACTAGAAGTAGATGACCAGTTATCAGATGAGGACACAGACAAGAATGAAGCAGAAGACAAACAACAAAGGATGTCTTCTCAGAGTGGACTAGAAGTAGATGACCAGTTATCAGATGAGGACACAGACAAGAATGAAGCAGAAGACAAACAACAAAGGATGTCTTCTCAGAGTGGACTAGAAGTAGATGACCAGTTATCAGATGAGGACACAGACAAGAATGAAGCAGAAGACAAACAACAAAGGATGTCTTCTCAGAGTGGACTAGAAGTAGATGACCAGTTATCAGATGAGGGACACAGACAAGAATGAAGCAGAAGACAAACAACAAAGGATGTCTTCTCAGAGTGGACTAGAAGTAGATGACCAGTTATCAGATGAGGACACAGACAAGAATGAAGCAGAAGACAAACAACAAGGATGTCTTCTCAGAGTGGACTAGAAGTAGATGACCAGTTATCAGATGAGGACACAGACAAGAATGAAGCAGAAGACAAACAACAAAGGATGTCTTCTCAGAGTGGACCTAGAAGTAGATGACCAGTTATCAGATGAGGACACAGACAAGAATGAAGCAGAAGACAAACAACAAAG